GGGGTGGCAGCATTTGGGATCAGGGGTTGGACAATCCATTATGCTTTGGGAATTGGTGCCAAGCAGTGGGTAGGGTTGACAAATTCTGGGAAAGCATGCCTCCAAGACAGGTGGAAGGACATCAAGTTGATCATTCTTGATGAAAAGTCAATGGTTGGATAGATTGTCAGTTGCTTCAAAGATATCTTTCCTGAAGCAGCAGATAACCAACTGGCTGGCATGTCCCTGCTCCTCTTTGGAGACTTTTGTCAACTTCCACCAGTTGGTGAAGCCCCTTTATTTTGTTGGAGGAACCGTGTGCTATGGGAGGCCGGACGAGTTTCCGTACAGCCACATTCCCACATCTGAGCGAGGAACTCGCCCAGACAGCCACATTCCCGCAGTAGCGTGACTACTTGGTCACAACACCTTTTTTCTTCTTATCTATTTTAGTCACTTTGGACTCATCCGCGAAGTCCACAAACTATATTCATTCATTTGGATTAGTTTCCTTTTTCCCTCAGTTCTCGCGCATTAGCTTGAGACTGAGGTTAGTTACAACATTCTTTTACTCTGATTTCTTATACATTGTAACTCATTGTATATTACCTTATAGCTTTAGCATTAGGTAATATTATAGTTCTCGCGCATATAGTGAGACTGAGCTTTACTACTAGAGCAAGCAGTTATTCCGTTATATTTACCACAGCCAATCTGAAGCATGACCTCAGTCGCATTGGAAATCATCTCTACCATTCTATCCCTGAGTCAATAACCCTAAAACAAATCTTCTGCCAAGAGGGTGCAGATAGAGAGCAGACAAATTTCCGTGATTTTGTTCAATGTCTTTGAACCAATGAGGTCACTTTGGAAGATTTCAACCAGCTTCTGGTTCCATGCATGTGGACTAACCTCCCCCAGCATGAAAGAGAGTGTCATATCCATCCACAGCCATCGACCTCCACTGCCCCTGATCCTTCTGGACTACCTCCACTCCTTCTTCACTAACCTCAGAGCTCCCGTATTCTGCAATCACCTCTGCCTCCCTCGATGGTCACCACCCCCTCTTTTCAATATATTACCTATGTATGGAGCCCCAAAGGCTTCCAGACAGCTCTGATGTCTGCTAGTGCACTCCCACCTCCACTGGGCAATTCACTTGCTTGCCCTGCAAGCCCACCTTCAGGTCTATCCCTCCTTTCCGTTTCTGGGTTATTGCCTGCCATTCCACTAACCCTGTAACCTGACTTGTCGGTAATATTCAGTCGGCTAATGTTTAACTCTGTTAGCTCCACTCCGCTTGGCCCTGCCATTCATGGGCCCACTCTTGCTGTAACTATATATACTTAACTTGTACATAGGTTACACCTCAGTGATAAAATCGACTAGAGTTGATCCCCCTTTAGTTCTCGTTGCCAGTAAGTAAATTAGGGCATGGATGTGTAACTTGGCACAGTGCTCCTGGCTTGAGTCGCTGAGGCCAAAGCCCTCCGCCATGGAGACAATTCCTTCATCTCGATCTGGTCTCTAACAGAGAGGATTTCTCAACAGAAATTCATCTTCTCCCACAGAATGAGCTTGTTGATACCTTTAACCTTCATCGATTAGCCTCATTGAATAAGCCTGTTGTTTGTATCAAGGCAATAAATCATGGGGCAGCAGCAGCAGCTGCATCAAAAGATGAGGCAGAAGGTTTGGACAGTGAGATCTTGCTAGCAGAAGGTGCTTCTGTCATGCTCACTCAAAATATTTGGACAGATAAAGGTGAGACACAAGGTATTGATATAAATGCAGGTCTTGTGAATGGTGCTCATGGGACATTGGACCATATTGGATATGCACCAGATGCTGATCCTACTAAAGACATCCCTCTGGTTGTTTTTGTATGCTTCCCAACATACACTGGCCCAGTGGATGCAAAGTGGCTATCTCAAAACAATCCAGATTGCCCAGTTGTGCCCATTATCCCCTTCACTACATGCTGGGAGACTGTGAGGCCCTGGCCCATATCTATATTCCACCCACAACATCAATTGATGTTGTGTTGTCTGATATATATGTTGCGATGCTAATTTAGCATTGCGGAAGCTTCTCTATTTATTTGTGCTGAGAATGTAAAAGAATGTATATAAACCCTCAGGGTAGCTGTAAAAGGTGGATCAGCCTTTACTTCTACCCCATTAATATACAGCCCATCAAAGGGTATACTTAGACGGACCAACTGAGGCCTGAGGCGAACGGGGGAACGGAACATACCGTCCCCAAAACAAGTAAGATCCCTTTCAGAGACTCAGGATAGACACTCACTTTCCCATACCCAATTTCCACTTACACTTGCATGGGGTATATCCGTCCACAAGAGTCAAGGTCTAACACTTGAAAGGGCAGTGATTGATTTGGGACCAAGTGACTTTGCAGTTGGATTATCATATGTTGCAATCTCACAGGTCAAGTCAATCAAGCAAATTGCATTCAGAACATCATTTGACCTGACCTGTCTCCAAAAAGTCAATAATCCAGAAGGTGGGATTTGGGGAATGTTGCTCCAAGATAATGTTAGATGTGAACAACTTGATGATTTTCATGAAAACCCATATGATGTTGATGTGTCAGGATCTGGACCTCAGCTGGGAGTGGCCGGAGGGTGAGACCGGGTGTGGAAGCTGGGGTACTCTCCCCAGCTGCTAACTCCTCAAAGTCACTGAGGGGACTAGCCTCAGCCTTCACAGGGAATGAGCTGAGAAGAAGGGTAAGCTTCTCAGCCCCCTGTGAGGCCGACACAAAAGGACCCTAGGAACTATACAGTTCCTGCTTGCTGCCGACTTTCCATAATGGGTGTGACCTGTGGGAAAGTTCTGGGCGAGCTGCTCGCCCAGAATGTTCCCACAGTCACGTGTCCTGGGCGAGTTACTCTCCCAGAAAGTTCCCGTGGCTGTGGCTGTGCATTTCTGGGTGAGTCGCTTGCCCAGAACATTCCCACGGGTTTGAACACATGCATCATTGTGTGAAACAGTGGGGGGAAGGACAGGGGGAATGAGGAGATGTGGGGAGAGGGTGGTTAGGGAAAGGGAGAGGGTGTCTGAGGGTGAGTGGGGTTGAGGGCTGTGCCCTGACATGATGTATCTGAATATGTATTTTTAGATGATGATTGATTGATTGGGTCCTCTTCCTCTGACATCTATACATTATACATGCAGTCACATCCAGCAGCACAGTATGCCCAGAGAGTAATTGCCATGGGTTGAGACAGTGGTTTGTTGGCTGAGCTTGCAAGGCATGCATTTGTTTGGGTAATGTCAGGGCACACCCACCTGACCCGGGTCCACCCGGTCCACCGGCCACACCTCACCCGCTACCCCGCTGCCCATCCTTCTCCTCCCTCCTTCCCCCTCTTTCCCTCTCCCTTTCTTTCTCTCTTTCTTCTCTTCTCTTTATTTTACTCTTCCCACCATTCTCTTCCTGTTTATTCCTTCTATTTACATGGACCACTTTCCCTTGCATCAATGTACTATTGACCCATCTGGCCCAGACACCCCAGACGGCTCCCCACTGTGCCCAGCATGCGTGCCTGCACCGGATGCCCTTGGGATCCCCCACGGGGACACCTGGATGGCTGTGGCTGTCTCCGAGGATGACGTGGCACCCGTCATGTGACTCAAGCTGCATGTACATAAATGTACCTGAAGAAGTAACCTTCTCACCTTTTCCACTTCAGGTAAGTTAGTATAGTTTTCCCTTTCAATAATAATTCACCTTTTCCACTTCAGTATAAGTGGCCAGGGACTGCTGTCCCACATTGGGCCCGCCAGCACGCACGCTCGCTTCGCACCCCGAGAGGGTCCCTCTGCCAGGTGCTACATCCGGGCCCCCTCCACCCCGGATGCATCCCTGACAGGTAAGGGCTGTGTGTGTGCAAGTGCTGAGTGTGCTGAGTGTGTGTGCAGTGTGTGAGTGCTGTGTGCAAGTGCTGTGTGGGGTGTGAGTGCAGTGTGTGAGTGTGGTGTGTGTGAGTGCAGTGTGCTGTGTGGTGTGTGCTGTGTGTGTGAGTGCTGAGTGTTGAGTGCTGAGTGCTGAGTGTGCTGTGTGCTGTGTTGTGTGTGCTGTGTGGTGTGTGCTGTGTGAGTGAGTGTGTGTATGCATGCCTGGAAAGTAATTGCCCATGGGGGTTGGGAAGTTGGGTATAGGGCTGTGGTGTGGTGGGAATGTATCTCTTTAATAATGCTACATGGAGCAGAGCAGGACAGCCCCTGCAGTGACCAATGTGGAGTAAGGACAGGGAGCAAGTGCAGAACACATGGCTAGCTGTCTCTGATTAATATCAGGTACACTATGATGGCAACTTAATAACATTGATTTCCCTGGGTAGCATGTATATATGCAATTCTGCTCCCATTTTTTTCAGTCACCTGCCAAGACTTTAACCCACATAGCTGTGGAGGAGTGTCCATGCACCCTCCCTCTACCTGACATCTAGGGCTCCTAGCAGATCAGACCCATATTGGCATATCTTTGTGGGCCAATCTGAATGTTGGGGACATAGCATATGACTACATATATCACCACATGTAGCTGCATCAGCCCATAACTCTCTCACCCCTTTCCCTGATCTGACTCCACCCCTTGATCTGAGTATCTCCCTGTTTTTATTACTTTGTTGCCTACCTCATCATTTAGTTCTGTTGATCCTTTTTCTTCCAATTGGTTCATATCTCTCATGTATATAGCCCTATGTGTTGCTGAGGGTTGGAACCTCAGCTTTGTCTATGACTAGGTTTTTGGGCAATACTTGACTTGGACTGACAAGTGATCCCTGACACTGAATGCACATTTCAATCTGTGGATCCTCATAACAATTGTAGCCTGGTTATTCTCTGCAGCATCATTGACACTTGGCACTGACACAACTCCATGTGACACCACCTCGAAAAGAGAGGGCTAACGTCTAGAGAGATCAAAACACACCACAAACCCCCATAAAAAACCCTATCCCCACCCTCACCCACTCACCCGATCTCCTATCAATGGACGATCACAAAAAGCCCGACCCCAGTGGGACGGATGGCACCAAAAGACTACTAGCTCAAACAACACACGACATGCCATCAACCAACGAGCATTATACGATACATGATCAGGCACTCCTCACCAACACCACCAGTTTAACTCACATGGCAACAGCGCAAACTCGATTAGGGGCCAGTCCAAACCGGATCAACAAGATCCCTGGGACACTGCAGCGAAAAAGACCCGCGCGACCAAAACCAGATTCGACAATAGGTACACCAGCCCCCTCCCCAGCCTGACCACCTCAAGCAGCCATCTGGTGGTTGAAAGTATCCAGACTGGCAGACCAACAACCCCGGACTTGGACTCACCAGCAGACCAATGGGAAGTCGACACACCCCCACCAGCCAAACATCATCACCTCGCACCCACACCCCAGATGCAACTTGGGATAGAGGACGATGACATGAGGTATGCCAATGAAAGCCCTGAAGCAGAGAAAGGAGACCAGACACATAGGACTGTCTACGACACGTTCGAGGCAATGCACGACCTAACTGACAGATTTAATGGCATTAGACTCACAGGCTTGTGGGAGAACTTCCAGGATGAGTACATGCTATGGTATAGTAACCTACCAAGGCTGGCAACCCTGGATACCTTCCCCACCCCTTCATGCGACAGTGAACTGGAAGAACGACTGAAAACAGTCGAATCTAACATAAGCTGCCTGACTGAAGCTAATGCATATTTGACAGATAGGTTACTAACTACAGAGATACCCACCATGGCTGCCCTCCCCTGTAACCGCAACACACGCGACCCGAACACGATGGCGGCACCAATGGCAAACCCGCCCCTGGCCAAAACCAACCAGGTCAAGACATCCTGGGCGAGCGTAGCAGCAAGCCCACCCCCGGCTGTGCCAACACACACAGCATGACCTGGTCCCCAGACGACAACCACGGACACGCAGGCACCCACCACAAACCCTCACGTCCTTATCATATGCGTCAATCCACCAATCCCACCAGACCAATGACCAAATGGCCTAGCGACCCGCAAGAAAATCAACGACATGCTTGATGCGAAGAACCTTCCACACTACCTGAGAGTCATGGCAGTCGGATACTCCCTAGCAGGCAAGGTCAAAATTACGATGGCCCCCACTTGCTGTGCTGCGGACTTGGAAAAATATGGCAAAGAAATCGCAGCGACCATCACCGACAACAAAGTGCTGTCTGCCCTACCGGACATGGAGCACTTCCGGGTCAAGATAAACAAGATCCCCACGCATTGCGACAACATCCTGATTCCAATCAGTGTGATCCACGAAGAGATAATGACCTACATCCCCCAATACAGGGAGCTAAAACAATGGGGCCCGCTCAAATGGCTCGGGTCAGATGAAATCATATATGCTAAGAATTTTGCTTCAATTGTACTAGACCTAGCTAACAAGAAAGACAGAGACGCTATCCTAGCGCTCCAAGCTGTCTTTTTATTTAACTACAGATGCACTATCACCCCATATGAGGAACGCATCCAAGTCCACGCTTGCAGTAAATGCAGCATGTTCTCGCATTGCACGCAAAACTGCAGACAATCACGATGTTTCAAATGCGGTTCGAAAGACCACACCACAGGGGAACACCCACCTGATGCGTGACTATGATGCATCAACTGCAAAGAAGCACATGCATGTGATCACAAGGAATGCAATGCCAGGAGGAACAGGATGGGCCTCAAACCCATCCCGAAGAACCTCATGCCCATGCCTATGCCTGCCACATCAACCCTGCAACCACTGCAACCCAGGCAGAAAAATAAGAGAAAAGGTAAGGAGAAGCACCCAAACCTGACTGAACGAGAGGGTGAAGCCTCAGTTAACATCGGCCTAACGGGCGATGATGTGAGCCGCATCCTAAGCCAGAACCAGTCACAGGAAGCCCAAAGGGCATCCACAGCGAGACTGGTGAACTCAAATCCAAAGCCCACCTGCTATGTCCGCCCCTCCACACCGTCAACGTCAGAGGAGGAACAGATGGATATTGAAGAGACACCCTCCCCCCAATCCCACCTCAATGACCTATAAGCCCAAACTACCAACTGCCCTTACAGTTTGTAGCATAAACGTGAACCGTTCCAATGCGGCCACACAAGCTGGAAGGCATGATGGTCAACTGCACCCAACCCCCCCAGCTCCGGATTCCACCTGGCGAACCATATCGCCCTGACACTCAGACCCACCCTGAGGTTTAAGTCACTAGACTGGAAAACATTCAGCAGACTAATCCAGTTTCGCACCGGACACGCACACATTGGGGAATACTACCAGCGCTTCGGCATTCATACAGAGAGCCAAGAATGCCAGTGCGGTGCAGTGGTCCAGACATGAACCCACGTCCTACAAAACTGCCCGCAACTCAGGAAGTTTCGACACCTGCTGGGTAGCAGACGGCAGACCAGACCCATGGTGCTGATGGGGAGACCGAAAGGAATCCTCAGGCTGGCAAAATACCTAAAGAAGTTGCACGAGAGACCCAGACTTACCCCCGATCGTACCTCAGTTCCCATCGACTGAAACTTTCAAGAAAACCACCCATCGTGACAGCACTGAACCCGGGGAGTAACCCCATCCACAGACGAACCAAATCAACCCGAAACCAGACCCCAGAGGACACTGTCACCCCAACCCTACTAAAAGTCCCCTCATGTACAGATGTAATGTAGTGGGATATTGTCAAAAACCCGGATTGTAGGGGTAAATGTGTGAGTCCGAATGCAGGCGGGGCTCATCTAGCGGGGGGGATCCGAGAACTCCGGTGGTGGTCCAAAGCTTCTCCAGGAAGCCTGGGTCTGCTGGATGGTACAAGAGGCTCTAAGAAGGATGCGGCCTCAGTGACTTGGAGGGAGCACTGTGCCTCCGTTACGTCTCAGTTAGTCCTTGTATTTCTTATGTCTGAGGTATCTTGTAGAATGGGAACGGGATTCACTCAGAGGGACTTTGGGTAGCATTTTAGTCGAGATTAGAACTGAGGAACTACAGGTTCTAACCTACGGGTATTTTATAAAGGGGAGTGTAAAGGACTTAGTCAAAGTCCAAATAACAATGGGACGACACCGAAAGGTGCCGAATGATACCGAGAGTACCGAAAGGTCCCGAACGATATCTTTAACGGGGAACCGAGGTGTCGGACCATAGAGGGCAGAGTAAGAGGCCGGAAAATGAATGGGAACAAGAAATGGGTAAGGGGGGGTTAGCCGACTGAATGGTAAGAAGAAGATAGTCATGCTAAGAATGGAGGGTGACTAATAAGTGATGACGTGAGTGAGATCACCGAAGGATGTGGGTAACTCCGAAAGCGGAGTTGCATATCCGAAGGATGTTGGGTGACTCAAATAAATGAAATGGGTGGAGAAATGGTTTAAGGGTGTGTCACGGGATGTCAGAGGTCCGTTGGGGTATCGGAGCAAATCCGGAGTCTCCGAATGTTCCGACTCAGGACCGAGCTTCCAGGATGGGAGTGGCCAAGGTTCAGTGTGCCGCAACCAGACCGGAGCTGAGACAGTCAGGAGGGAAGGTGACTTGAGGAGTGGGGAGGCATGGTGTAGGGGATGGTGAAGTTGTTAGGAAGGTGTGATGTGGTGGGAGTACGCAGGGTCGGGATCCTGGGATATGACAGATATGCCGCTCTGTCACGTGCCAATGCGACCACGGGGTAACAAATATGATATCAACAACAACAACTTGGCACTGACAATTACCACCCTTGGAAAGTGGCTTTCCTGCCATCTATTGTGCAGATATAGACATCAGCAAACTGTCAGGGACAGCTCCGGAAGTGGTGAAGTCCTGGCATGAGGGACTCGATGGGACAGGTGTCAGCTATGCATAGTGGTGGTCCCATCGTGGGGTGAGTGTCCCCAACCACTTAGTCTGAAGTGGGAAATTGAGAAGAAGGCTGCTTCTGCTGTTCCCACCCCAGGCACTATTATATACATGTGGTTAAGGCCACGTGGATGGGGCCACATCATCCCTGCATGCGGCCACACCACTCTGGGTGTCTCCATGGGAGATCCTGGAGGTGGCCACTGTGTGGGTGGGGATGTGTGCAGCAGATGTGACGATTGGGGTGTAGTGGTACATAGAGAAAGGGGAGGTCGACCATAGAACAGAAATAGAGGGAAAGAGGAAAGAAGAAAGAGGGAAGAAGGAAAGACAGGGAGCAATGACAGGGGGAAGCAGAGTAGGGCAGGCAGCACAGGGTGCAGCGTGGGGTCAGGCAGGGTATGCCCTGACACAAACACAGCTGCTCATTATCTCATTGAATGCAATGTTCAAAGTATGCTTTTGCTTGATAAGCCTCAGGTTTAAAGAGTTCAGGAGTGTCAGAGACCGGGTTGAGACAAAGGAGTGTCTCCGTGACAGAGGGCTTCGGCCTCAGCGACTTATGCCAGGAGCGCTGTGCCAAGTAAACACGTCCATGCCCTAACTTACTAACTGGCCACCAGAACTGAAGAGGGTAAACTCTAGTCGATTTTATTACTGGAGTGTAACCTATGTACAAGTTAAGTATAGTGAGGGCAGGTCCGCAAATGGTGGAGCTGAGTGGAGCGGAGCTAACGGGGTTTAGACATTAGCCGATTGAATATTACCGACGAGTCGGGTTATGGGGTTAGTGGAAAGGCAGGCGATAACCCAGAAATGGAAAGGAGGGATAGGCCCGAAGGTGGGCTTTGCAGGGCAAGTGAGTGTATTGTCCAGCGGAGGCAGGAGTGTGCTAGCGGATGTCGGAGCTGTCCGGAAGCCTTCGGGGCTCCATACTTAGGGAGGCGTAGGTAATAAATTGAAAGGAGGGGGTGGTGACCATCGAGGGGTACCGAGGGGATTGCGGAATACGGGAGCTCTGAGGTTAGTGAGGAAGGAGCGGAAGTAGACCAGAGGAATCGGAGGGATCGGAAGTCGATGGCCAGGGATGGATATGACAAGGAGCACATTAACTCACAATGTGAACATTGGGGTTGGGGGGTTAATTGGCTTGCCAAAATAAGTCTGCCAAATCAGAATGGGTACTGTACATGTGTGGAGTGTTTCAGGCAGGCTCAAGAGTGAAGAGATGGTGATGGTAATGATGGAAAATTATTCTGATCCACTGCATCAGCAAACTTGGTAGGGAGCTCTCAGAGCTCACAGAGCTCTGTGAGCAAATTGAGTCTTTTTGCTGTGCACCCTCTACACATTGGGTGGAGAAAATTAAATGTTGAATGATTTTGTTCTCCTAAGTGCAAAGATAATATGTATATACATTTTTGGAAATGCATATTAAATGGCCAGCATCATTACTTGAAAAGCTCTATGAGCTCATAGAGCTTTTTGTTTTTAAATAATGGATGGTCTTCATATCTCCATGAAATCTGCTTAGTTATTTTGGCACCAGTAGTGCAAAGATAATATGGATATATGTGTGTGTAAAATGGCCATTGTCATTGCTCTGAAAGCTCTATGAGCTCAGTGGGCTCATAGAGCTCATATACCTTTTGTGTTTACTAAAATCAGCACCTTATTGGTTTATTGCTATTTACAAAATTTGAGGAAAACTCTGAAATTCAAAATTTGCACTTTATCTTTCATCTCATTTCTTGCTCAAAACTCAACCAATTTTGATGATTCTATGTGAATTGGAAAGCACCAAAGTGTGGCAATGTAACCATGCATGTTATGTAGGGTATAAATCATTTAAAAAAAATGTTCCAAATGAAGTAACTTAACAATACCACCCAATAAAGCAAACAAAAAGCTGATGTCTTCAGATATCATCCAAGCCTTTGACACCAAATTTCCCATGGTCAAAAAGCCATGGTTATTTGGCTCACAAAAACATGGTGGGAGACTTTTCTAACACTGAAACATACATCGCTACATTGCCCCACTTTGGCACTTTCCAATGCACATTGAATTACCAAAAAAGTGATTTAATTTTTTTTCCAATTATTCCTAATTTCCTGAAATATCTCACCCTAACTTATCCCAAAATTTCTGATTTCCCCCTAATTTCCCCAGATTTTTTGGACATTCTCCTTTTTTAGAAAGTCCCCCATTTTCTGAATTTTCCTTAATTTTCCATGACTTTTTTTCAACTTTTTAGAAACCCCCCAGTTCCCTCTCCCATTTTCCCCTTCATCCCCCCCCTCCCCAATTCCCTCCGCAATTTCCCCCCCATCCCCCCTTCAATTTTCCCCTCATTTCCCCCCCCCAATTCCTCCTTAATTTTCTCCTCATTTCCCCCCCTCATTTCCCCCCTCATTTCCCCCCTCATTTCCCCCCTCATTTCCCCCCTCATTCCCCCTTCAATTTTCCCCTCATTGCCCCCTCCAAATGTCACCCCATTCCCCCCCTCCATTTCCCCCTCATTCCCCCCTTCAATTTTTCCCTCCCAATCTCCCCCTCATTTTCTCCCTCATCCCCCCCCAATTCCCCCCCATTCCCCCCTCAATTTTCCCCTCATTTTCCCCCCCATTTCCCCACTCATTTTCCCTAAGTAATTTCAGATTAACTGCATTATATCCCTAATTTGGTCTATATTGATTGGGCTACATACCCTTGGTGTGCAAGTGCTGCATTGGTGCTGAAAGTTAAGCTGAGTTTGTTCAGTCCCTTGTATGGTAGGGACTTTGTTGGAAAATTGTGAGATTGATCAAAAGCATGAGACTTGACATTTAAAATGCCAAAATTTGATGTTTAAATGTGAATTTTGGCATCTAAACGTTGTGATAAATTGTTTATGGCATTTTTTGATATTATTGAATGCATTCTTATACCCCTCAAACGCTCTGAATATGTTTTTAATAACTTAATAAATGTGTCATAAATGCTTCCTACAGCATCAAAATCGTCAAAAATCCATCTCATATAACACATAAAGTACCACCACATCTCACCAATGTATTCTCATCAGCTGTTGGGTAGTTGTTGTAAATAAACACCATGAAACATTTCCCAGGCATTTAAACGATATACAGGATTTTCCAACATTGGCTATGGCTAGTCACATGATGCCATAGTCAATGCTTTTAAATTTAAATTTTAATATCAGGTAAATTAAACACTCAGGGAGCTCATATAGATAATAGTCCCCTGTGTGCAAAGATAGCTCTATGAGCTCTCAGAGCTTTCATTACTTTTCAGAGCTCTCAGAGAAGGGGACCTGCAATTTCAAAGTACTGAAGCTCTGAGAGCTCTATGAGCTCTCAGGCCTCCGCATCCAGGTTTGCTGATGTGGGTGCATGGAAGTTGAAGGGTCAATAACATTCTAGCCACACAGATTGTCAATAGATCAGATACATCTAGAGTAAGCTTGGCTCAACATGACCCACATGAAGACAAGGGTGAATCAATTTGGTAGCTATATCACATGCTCTACCAAAATGTTGAGCACCACCTACTTTGAAATCCGATCAAATATATAACAAGTTTAAAATGTGGTGCATCTTATTCATCGAAACACCATGCTTCCTATGATAGTACAGCCAGGTGATAGATGGACCAAGAAGGGTCGGTTCCATGGTTTCACTGCAGCAGTACCTACAGCAGGGGGAAGTGGGAGGCTTGTCTGGAACCACATGAATATGGGAATCAGACTGAACAACTGAGCCTCATTGAAACCAAATGGCTAGACCATGTTGACCAATAAGCCCGAGATTTGCACAAACTACTCAATTAATGGCATGACAATTCAACTAGGTATCATGCTGCACCTTGTGGATGACAAAGTCCTGAGAGAACTGAAGGCACAACCATGTATGGACCTGAGGCCCCAAATTAAACTAGGAGGTGAAATCCAGTCCTCTGACAAGGTACCCTCCATATGAGTGCAGCCCCACCCCCCCCCTAAACAACTCCATCCCATCGAGTAGACACCCCCCAGCATCAGAATTTGAGTTTGAACAACCTTCAGACATACCACTGGTTAGCCATGTTGCACACTCATCCTCTGCTGGATGGGACAGATGAGAGGTATGATGAAAAAAATACTGTAAGAATAGTATCCACAGAGGTGTATCGCCTCAAACCAAATTCTGATGGTGATGGCTTTGCAGAATGTCATTCAGTTGTCCTGTCTGCAGAAATTCCACCCAACACAATTGGTGTACTATAAGGTCCAAAATCTAGATGGATGTACCCTTGATTTCAAGTACTAACAATTTGTTAGACCAGCATTCCAACAAGTACTACTCCTCAACACATTGAAGCTTATGGAAACTGGCTCAAGCTACAGGGTTGCACATAGAAGACCATGTAAGTCATTGGCATGCATATACAGTAAGGCTTCTCAGTTTGATTGATGCAGATCTGTGAGGGATACCATTTTGTACAGTCTAACTGGAAAGAAGGGGACAAAATCTGCTTTTTCGGCTTCTCCAGAGGTGCATACATTGCCAGGGCTTTAGCCGGGATGCTACATATGGTACAGACACATTTGATTTTGATTTTCAAAGTTGGTGGTGTGTTGGAATAATCCTGCATGATAGATTGGGCTATTGCTGGCCTTGATGCCTGACGAAGTTGTGTTTGCCTTCAAGCATTACAAGGACCAAATAGAGATGCAAAGGGTATGGTACCCAAACTCAGGTAAGCCAGTTCTTCACATAACGAGCCATGTTTAACTTCGGAATCCTCCCTCTTCAGCAGGAACTATAGACAAGATCTCTGTCATGCCATTAAGATTGATTTTCTTGGAGCCTGGGATACTGTTTCATCTGCTGGCATCCTTGTTTCTCGCATGCTTCCCTATTCCCAAGGCAACTCTTCCATGATAGTGTTTAGGCATGCAATGGCTCTGGATGAGAGACAAGCTAGGTAATCACTTAGCCTAGGTCCATTGTCATGCATGGCCACTGACTCTCAGTGTTTCGCTCATTATCAGGTTCACACCTTTACCTTGGGGACTTTCAGGCATAGTGAATGGGTGTGCTTCAAACACTGAGGCCACCAACGCCATGGTCACATGGATAGTTACATTCAGAGATCTTATTATCAACATTTTCTTCTCTTGGTTCATCAAATGGTGGTCATCCCACACAATGGACAGCCTTGCATGCCACAGTGGTAATAGGCTGATGCCAGAAGAGCATCTCCACTGGATGTGAAAGAGGTCTGGTTTGCAGGTGGACACTGTGGTATGGTGCCTTTGTCTCACAAACATCCCCATCTCATTTCCTGTCAGGGGACAACTCCCAGCTCCCCATGACCCTCCCCTATGGCTCACAGCCTCTCATGTGAACAGCCCTGTCCAGGGCACAATCTACTACTGTGGGTAAGGAGATGAATATAAATGAAGGGCAAGTATGTACAACTTGCCTACTGTAGGTAAGGAGATGAGAAGGAAGCTAACTTCTCATCTTCCCACAGTGGCCACAATATCAGGAAAACTTCCAGGAACATCTGGAAGTCACATGAAGGAAGAGACCTGGGGCCCAGGGCAAGTGGCACATGGAGCATGCAGTGCAGAGCACACACAGGAAGTGCAGCAGCCAGGTCCAGATGCAGGTCTGGGCTAGGTCAGGGTGTGTGCCCTGACATTTCCCAATCCTAGATGTTGGTGGAGGAAATGAACTGGATGACATACCCTGGAGTGATGAAGACGACCGAGGTATTCCCCTTTGCTGGATGATCCACGAGTTGTATGAGGCAGACAAGACAATAGGGGGGTTTCATGGTACTCTAAACTGAAGTCTAAACTGAAATCCTAAACTGAGATCAAAACTGAAAAGTATTGGCAAAACTGACCAGTTTAGCCAGTTTAGCTCTTGGGGCTCACATGCCCCAACTGGTCTAAACTGATCCTAGATCCACCTCAAGACTGGCCTCTAAACTCAGACTTATCATTTTTGTAAACTCCATCAGCTGATAGTGCTACTGTACAGTTCCATGTCCAATACAGTTGTCCTTCAGTTCTGTCCTCATCTTATCCCTCATCCCTATCACAAACCTGATCACACATGCCACCAAGGGGCCATAAACGCAACATGAGGATCCTCTGCCTGAGGGCCAGAAAGGGGCAACAAATCAGGTGCACCAAGTCACCGATATAAGAATTGCCACACCCAATGTGAAGGAAGAAAAGATCAACTTGAAGGTAATCCATAATTTGTGTTAGATCGGGCAGATTCGGATGACTCCGGAGTGGAATTGGAGACTTAGCGTGGAAGGACCTTGGCCTCAGTGACTCAGGTGGAGTGCTGTGCCATTGCTGGTTGTCCTAGGGGTCCCTAATTTTGGATCTAGCAGAGGGGAAGTCTCTTGGGGGGAAATCAAGTCGATTTTGGACTGAGGTTACAAGTTACTATGTACATTGTATATAAGGAGGGGTCCGGAATCAAAAGGAGCAAGGGTACTCCATAAGCAGACAAAGGGGGCTGGAAAGAGGAACAACACCGAGGGTCAAGGGTTTGACTCAATGGTGTTTCTCAAAGGAGGAGTGAAGGGCCAAGGCCCAAGGAGGAAGGAAGGAGGTTGGGAGTCAGGAATGGCTAGCTGACTGAATAGAAAGGAAGCAGCAGCCCAAATAGGAATGAGGGAGAATAGCGGAATTGAAATGGAACAATGCAATAGTTGCAAGGTCCGGAGTAAGTCTGGAAAGTCCGAACTCGGAGGTTAAACTCCGGAATATTGGCAAAGGTAATTAAATGGAATGAGCTAACCAATACAATGGGTATAAGCGGAGGTGGGGTCAAAGTCCAAGGTCATGTCAGAGACCTGGTCGAGATGAAGGAGTGTCTCCATGGCGGAGGGCTTCTCCTTCCCCACTGATTCCGGCCGCTTCAGGCTTGAGTGTGACGCCTCCAACTTCGCAACCAGTGCAGTTCTCTCCCAGCTCCAGTTGGACAGGGAGTTCCACCTGGTAGCGTTCATGTCCAAAAGCTTCACGGATGTGGAACGCAACTACAAGGTATACGACAAGGAGATGCTCGCAATCGTCCAAGCCCTCGAAGAGTGGCGGCACTTCCTGGAAGGTGCCAAGGAGAAGGTCGAGGTTTACACGGACCACCACAACCTGGGGTACTTCCACACGGCCCAGAGGCTGAACCGACGTCAAGCATGGTGGTCCCTCTTCCTCTCCCGCTTCTACTTCACCCTCGTCCACCACCCAGGGAAACTCATGGGGAAACCAGACGCGCTCTCACGACGTGCTGACCACCTGAAGGGGAGAGATGACAATGAGGGACTGACACTCCTCCAGCCGGGCTGGTTTGAGGCCCGCACAACAGAGGCAGTCTCAGTAGAGGGCGAGGAAGCAGGTATTCTGGAGAGGATACGAGAAGTGAAGGATCATGACGAATGGGTGGTGAAGGCCATGAGGGAATTGGGAGAAGGGACGCTGAGGTCGGACGAGTGGGAGAAACAGGGAGAGCTGGTCCTCTATCGGGGTAGGGTCTATGTCCCGAAAGACCCACAACTCTGCCACGATCTGGTACAGCTACACCATGACGCACGGGCGACGGGGCACCCAGGGCGATGGAAAACCTTGGAGCTCATCTCCCGCGACTACTGGTGGCCCTGGATGGCAGAGTATGTCGGACAATACGTACATGGATGCGACACCTGTAACCGTGTCAAAACCTTCCCCACACGAAAGGTCGGGAAGCTCACCCCAAATAAAGTCCCCACCCACCGCTGGCAGGTGATCTCAGTAGACATGGTGGGAGAGCTCCCAGAGTCGAAGGGATATAATGCCATCCTAGTTGTAGTGGACCGCCTGTCCAAACGTATCCACACGATCCCCACTATGACATCCGTGGATTCGGCTGGTATCGCCCGGCTCTTCCTGGAGCATGTCTGGAAGCACCATGGACTCCCTGAAGAGATCCTCAGTGATAGGGGAAGCGCCTTCATCTCACGCTTCTCAAGGGAACTTGCGGACCTCCTAGGGGTCAAACTGACCCCTTCAACACCCTACCACCCCCAGACTGACGGACAAACGGAATGGGTCAACCAGGAGATTGAAGCCTATCTCCGGGTGTTTGTCAACCACCGCCAGGACGATTGGGCGGACTGGCTCCCACTGGCAGAGTTTGCCTACAACAACCGCATCCACTCCTCCACCCGTCAAACCCCCTTCGAGCTTGACACCGGGCAGCACCCCAGGATGGGGACAGAACCCACACATACGTCCGAGGTAGAAGCCGCTGACGCTTTCTCATCCAGGATGATGAAGATGCAGGAGGAGGCGAAGGCAGCTCTGGAGCATGCAGCAGACGAAATGGCCCACTACTACAACCGAGGCCGGGAGGCAGCCCCCAAGTACCAGGAAGGTGACCAAGTCTGGCTCAGCGCCCAAAACTATACGACCGTCCGTCCGACCAAGAAGCTGGACCATAAGTGGCTGGGTCCCTTCAAAGTCATCAAAGTCATCTCCCTGGCTGCTGTCAAGCTCCAGCTCACTGCATGGCAGAAGGGAGTACACCCAGTCATGTCCGTGACGAACATAAGACCCCACCGCCTGGACGAGATCGCAGAACGACCCCCTGACCCCCGCCTGGGCCCGGAACTCGTAGATGGAGAAGAGGAGTACAAAGTTGAGAAAGTATTGGACTCTAAATGGCTACGCCAGAAACTCTGGTATCTGGTAAAGTTCACGGGCTGGCCAAGCTCAGAAAACCAATGGCTCCAACAAGACCGCTTAACCCATGCCCCCAACCGGATCGAGGAGTTCCACAGGACACACCCCCAGGCTCCAGGAAGAGAGAGGGAGAACCGCCTGCCCGCTTCGAGGCGAAGCGGCTTAAGGGGGGGGTGACATCAGGGCACACCCGCCTGACCCCACTCCATCCGGTCTGACCCCACCCAATTCCACTACCCTCACCCGCTACCCCCATCCTCTCTCCTCCCTTCTCTCCCTCTCCTTTCCCCTTCTTCCTTCTTCCTTCTTCTTCTTTCCTTTCTTTCTCCTTCTTTCCTTTTCTATTACATGGACGACTTCCTTGCTCGATGTACCATTAACCAGACTGCGCAACACACCCGGACCCGGACACACCAGGTGACGCCCTACACACCGGATGCCCCTGAGACCTCTTACGGAGATGCCCAGGCAGACACGGCTGTGCGCGTTGTAGGAGAAATAACGGTCACACTATGGAAACCCATTATGGAAATATGCCAGATGAATCACAAAACCTCATATGACAAGTAGATATAAGAAAACAGAAGGACACAAATTTTTACGAATTATTATGACTATACACGATAAATCGAAAGAAAGAAAAATAGCAAAAATACTTCAAGCTTACCATCAACGAGACGGAATTCCCGGGGAATTTATAGCAAATATTAAAACAAGAATTAGGACAATCGACCAAGATTTGACTATAAAAACAATCAGAGAACCTCCACGGAAACTACTTTCCCACGTCCGCACACGTAGCCAAGGATGGAAGTACCACGGAACAAGGATTCCTCAGGAACTAATGCAAAATTCAAAGTCGTGTTTATAATAGGAAATGTAGATGTCCCCAAACGGACCAATGAGAGTAATTACAAGGAAACTACCCATAAACGATGGAGATATGACTAAAACTCCTGCAAAACGAGGACAATATCTAAAAGGCAAGCGCGAAAATTAACCAGTAATGACCGAGACAAGCTTGATAGGCCATTAGAAAGGAAGGAATCTAATCTTAATCCTCCCAAATTTTCATAATAAAAGGATCATGCATTAATGAGATATCCAATAACGGGAATAGCGACATCAAAGGTCCGAGCTCAGGGAAAAGACGATGTTTGCGTAGGATCCATAATTAAAACATACAACGAAATTTACACGGAAATTATTGAAAATGGGGAACTATAGTTATGCAAATTTTC